GAGACTCAGGGAACTTCATACCATCTAATTTCAGCCTTATACGTTTCCCCTTTTTGAATTAGCGTCAGTCAGTCACGATCGTCTATATATATATATATATATATATTAGAAATGTTGAATTTTTTCTCTACGCAGCTATCATCAGTCATCAGGTACTTATTTGCCAAGTTTTTTAACTTCATGCGCCCTCTGTTTTGCTGGATCAGAAAATTCGGGAAAATACGCCTTTTGCAAATTATGTGCCCTGAGCCGTTTTAACCGAAACGTACCATTTTTTATTATCGAAATCCATCCTCAGTGAACTACATGCCCACAACGTTTTAATATTATACTTTTGGCCTTTTCGCTGGTGAAAAAACATGTTTGGAAAAGCCGACCCACCTTACCGCTATGCCCGGAGGGGATGCACCATGAAAACTGAATACTCCTTCAAGTCAGTAATATCGTCACTTATAAGTGTGCGAAGTTTCACCTTTCCATTTCTTTCCAATTCGCCACGACAATTTTTTTTTCAACAACATCGCACCTGGAAAAAATTCCCCCCGCGGATGTATCGAGGCTTAACATTTTTCTTTACCTCCTTGTCTCAGTTGTCACATTCACGCAAAGTTTCTGCTTTCCATGTTTCTCCGTTTTACTCAAGCAAATATCATGTTATGGAGGCGGAATGAGTAACGGGACATGGAAGGCAAAAGAAACCAAGAGAAAGCCGAGGAATTGCCGGAAATTGATCCTGACCTCCTGATTGCCGGTCAGATGTGCTACCACTACACCACCGAACCCGGGACATCCACTCGTCTTTCGGAATCACATCCTCATATGTCACAATATATATTTAAGAAAAACGTTTCCCCCAAAATTTGTACCCATAGGGCATGTACCTCCAAAGTCGGATTTTTCTGAACTCTGCATCCCAAAAGGTACATGTTTACCAAGTTTCAGATTTCTAACCCTTCTAGAACATGGTTAGAATTAGCGTCAGTCAGTCTGTCTGTCACGATCGTCTATATATATTAGATTCACCGTAGCCATTCCGGTAACAGGAACAGGATCTCCGTGGCGCTGATACTCGAGGGAAACCTGTCCCGAATGGAAAGGCGAGACCGTATGAAAGACCGGGAGTCGAATTATAAGATTTGTTGAAGCAGTTATCTCGATCTCAATCCGAGACAAAGGTTAATGCTTTCAATCCGTGGTCGTAATCTGAGAAAAATTTTGTTCGCGTACGCGTGACTGCCAGACGAATGCGGACTTCGGGTGATATTCCCATCTGACCGCTAGGTATTTTATATGCATTTCATCGTGCGTCTCTGAAAGTTCGGGTCTGTTCCGGCTTGAATTCGTCAGCCTTCTCGTGAGAGGTATTTCACATGGGTGAATCCACTTTTTGCTTCGCTTCACTTCGTTTGGGCATCTTTGAATTAGCATGAGATTCCGTGTTGATCCATTACAGCATCCCCATGTGGCACAGCAACGTTGAATAGACGTTGAATATACGTATATTTATCGACCTGGAAACGTTGAGTAACGTTGAGAGTATACGATGACTCGACGTGGAAATGGGAATATCATCTACGTGGAGTAAACGTAGATTTGTTAACGTTTTTTGTCTGTGGCTTTTGCAGTGACTCCTTCCCTTGTAGAGATTCGCAAGTAATACAATCCAACAAAAAAATTCTCAAACACAAGATATTTATTCCTTCAGCCATTTTAGACAATTACTCCTCACATTATTTCCAGAATATCAACATGAACCACAACCAAAGAAACCACATAATCCTCTTAGAGCAGGATTCATCAGAGGATCACTCAAGTAGTTCCAGCTCCTCACATTCATATTCTCTAAATATCAGTCACTATGAACTGCAAAACTAAGAAAACAGGGTTAGTCAATAATGAAATCCTGAAATCCAGAGATTAATATTCAGATGAGGGAATATTGAATGTGATATGCATAATTATAGTAATGTGTACAGCTGTTACACTCCTATGGTGAGCATATTGAGAATCATTACACTCTCAAGGAATCCAGTGAGCCTTTCTGGATTACTTAAATAGATAATGGAGAGCTGCAAAGATTCACTTTTAACTTCACTTTGCCCATTCAGCCGTTCAGATTATAACTTTTGCACCTCAATGTCAAGAGGAAAAACTGAAATAATCAATGCTAGATGAATCAGCCAATAATTCCTATATACTGGAATTGGAATTAATGACTACTTCAAGTATCTCAAGCCCAATGGATCATTAAATATCACAGCAGCCTAGACATACATTACATATCATAACTTATAAGTAGATCAGTTTAACTTTCTAAGACAAAGAGCACATGAAACCTTGACGGACATCGTTGATATCCAGCTCTGAGTAAGTGGACATCGTTGATATCCAGCTCTGAGCTCCAGAGCTCGAGCATTTTCTTCCGGTACGCTCCTGGCGCATCGGATCGGATAGTAAACCCACATGACGTCAATGTTCATGGATTTCGTCCACTTCATACGTTTCCGTGTGGGGCGCATATTTTCTGTAGCAGAGGACGGTCGACTGTCAACCTCGACCCCTGGGACAGAGTTGGGTCTTTCACCAGTAGCCCTTACTCCCACTTCTGCCTGGTGAGGAACAGGAACGTGAGAACCTCCTGACGTCAACTTTTCACTGACTGCACCGGTAGACCGGCAGCCAGCGCGGCCCTTTTTATCCTGGGCGATGGCCTAGCCAGTATGAATTTTTCTTAGTTGTGGCATCATCATGTTTCCATGAGTGTGAGGACCTGGCAGGTGAGGCGCATAGGCCACAGCCACCTGTTGCACAGGGTGCACATGGTGATCCTCTGATCCATGGGGCACCACGGCCGTTGGACTGTCGAGAGTCTCATCTGCCCTTTATCGGTGAAGTGCCCAGCACCGCCTTAGGCAAGCAGCTCGATACTCTCATGTCACCCATCCAGGTTGTGCCAATGCTGACGCTGCTTAACTTGGTGATAGAAGGGGCTCCGATTCAAGTGCGAGTACCCCGACAGGACATCCACTCGCTTGGATGCTGGACTGTGGCTGATTAAGGGCTAGCCCTTCTGTCAGTGAATGTCCATCGTATTATGTTCGGCTTGGAAGGGGGCAATTTAAACGCATTGCCCTTCCAGTTACTTCCGCAAGAGTGCCAATTTTCCTGGCTTTGATACATATTCTATCTATCTATCTATCTATCTATCTATATATATATATATTGATATTAAACGTGTGTAAAGTAAACAAATATGCTAGGAACAATTAAAGATCAAGAAACCAGACCCATGTGTCAATGATACGGAAAGTTAATTTCATTATGAAAAAATGTAGTCCCTACGAATGATTTTCACAATTAAAGAAATACTTATTCATAGACACCATCGTCATTAACGGTTCCAGCAACAGTGTTGCACTACTTCGGTTCATTGATGACCTGATTCTTCAGCGAATCCTCAGAGCGAACTCGCGAGCAGGCAACAAATAATTGTCCATGCGGGAGTACTTGTTCCGGAAGTAGTAATCCGACACGATCCAGTGACTGTCCCTGAATCATGTTTATAGTTATACCGCAGGCAAGCTTGATAGGGATTGACGTCGACAAAGATCGAACGGCATGCTGACGTCGGATGACGTGCCCAGTGAAACTCTTCGCAGCAAATGAACACTGCCACGAAGCACACCCGTGATCATCTGAACATTTAAAACATTTGCGTCTATATGTCTGACGATCATATGCGTGCCGTGGCAAATGTCGCTCCCAATCCACAGAAGCATTGCAATAGCTCCAACGGTAAGGTTTATGGAGTGGGGAAGGAGACCCGGAGGATTAAGACAGTTGAAGAATACTATCGGAAATTTTACCTGCCGATCGGGATCATCATCCCAATTATCGTTCTTCGCGGTGTCGATACGGTCATGAGTCCGCATTCCCCTTCCAATCGAGACGACACGTTCTCATCGGCCAAAGGGGAGTGCTCACTCTTGGGACACAGAATTATAACTATCCGTACTTTACTGAATTCTGACTTCCAAAGAAATGTCGTAGCGAACCTTCAATGGCCAAACTGAGGCATCCGAATCAACTCTCAACCGACTTAACTTTCTTTTTTCAAAACACTTTCGCTGCCGTTCGCGCCATATGGCGTGTTCAGAGTTCCAACATGGTACCCCCAAACACGCCATATGGCGTGTTTGTGCAAGTTGCACTAACAAATAATGACGCATGGAAGATTTGAAACTAAACCCTAATGTACATTTTTTTCATTATTTTACCATAGCATTTGTTGCTGACTGATTTTCCTTTTGTTTTAAACTTTTATGTATTAAATTCGCATAGATATCTTGCTCATATCTAAGTCTCTTTTTTCTTGGGGCAATCCAAAAACGTATATGTGGTTGAGCTAATACACTACAAGCCGTTCCTTCCACCTGTGAATGAATAAGGCATGCATTGAAATGTAAGCACAAAATTATGCACGTTCGCAATCAAGATGTCGAACTTTTCTCAGAAGTGGTCGATGCCCTTACGGAAAAATCCTATAGGATCCGATCATATTTTTGAAAAATGAATATCTCATAAGATTCCTGTAGGATTCCTGTAGGATCCTATACGAAACCTATAGGATTCATATAAGAATACTATAGGATTTTTATGTTTCAAAAATCTTATAGGATCCGATAGGATTTTCCCGTAAGGTAAATCACGTCTAAGATAACCCTGTTTTGTAGTAGGCTTTGAAATAAAGTCTTTTTCTTCGTCCAATGTGCCTCGGAAGTGAATGTACAGTACTGTTCCGTTTATTCGGTATTGTACACGCACTTTAATGACCAACGAGAGATATTTGATATTGATATTTTCTCTTTGGATACTGTGATGCCATACATTTAGGGTGATTTAAAAAAAAAAATCAGCGCCTTCGCTCCCTATGGGAGAGAGGTGTCTTGGTATTTGCGGCCAATACTAGTAAGCTAAATTATCCATGATCATTTGATGGGCTACGAGAAGTTGATATTCACATTTAGTTTTTGCTTTACGCTTGCTTCAGCCATGCAATTCCCCGTTACACTGGTGGATCTGTGCATGTCCATGTCCATGGAGTGAACCACAGAAACTTTGTTGTATTCATTATGAAACTGTATACTGCATACTTGTGAAACTATATACATATTTCTGTATTTTTAGGTCAGGTCCTAAACATGAAATGCTGTGTAATGCGAAGTTTAGTCTTGAAATGTCAAATATTGTCCCGTATTGTGAGATTTCTTTGAAATATGTGCAACATTCTCGCGCAATGTGACATTTCGTCCCAAATGTCCAATATTGTCGCACATGTGATATTTTGTTCCAAATTGGGCGATAATGTCGAACTCTGGGCAATCTAATCTTGTACCGTTCCGCAAAAGTCTCGGGGAAAGAATTGTGTAAGTCAGGAAAGAATTTACACATGCATAGACGTGTGTGGTCCATGGACGGCACTAGGATGGAGCCTTATTACCGTGAATTTATTTACTTTTTTTAAAAAGAAATATGGTTGAATACACATTTGCAAAATATTGTCATTTTTACTTGCAGAAATCACCCACATTTCCTAAAAATGTACATCAGTCCTTCCAGTGCAAGAGATTCAGAATTCCAAAAAGCGCACTAATTCAAGTCCGTCTGGACTCATTGGTGGCGTGCAAGTCTGCAGTTCTTGCTGAATGAGCATCCAGTATATTACATAATTGTTGGACTTTCTACCCTCGCTCACCATAATTTCTCATAAAACAAATCACCATCTGCTCAGATTAGTCCGATCGTGCTTCATTCGCTCAGCAAGTTTCAGGGATTCAGAAACAACTTTTCAATACTGGAAACACTGGAAACCTCAAAAGGTATATCAGAGTCCGGTTAATCAATTATGAATCAATTAATTTTTATTTTGCTTTGGAGTTAGCTATGCAGTCGAATGCCAGAGCTTCAATAAAAATAAGCAAATCCCCCAACAACATTCAGATATCTGAGATATTCTTCAGAGGCCATTCAGAGGCCATTCATGCATGAGGCACATGAAGTCTTGGGGGGAAAGGAAGATTTGAGTATTCTGCAGAGCAGGAACGGGGATCATTCCCTGGAAAGTACTAAAATTAGTACTTTCAGAATACATTATAAATGTTCCATTGCCGTCATTATTGTCCCAATATTGACCATTTGCCCGACATAATTTTTAAAACCTAAGTAAATGAAACCTTATTACATGTGCTTTTCAGAAATAAAAGTTTTTTTTCGTATCTTTTACCGTTTCCTTTTTATTAACCTTTTAAATGTGGGACTCCATTCTGCCGCACCCTGTATTCAATATAATCAATAGCCATTGCTGCGTTATTTGATGAAATGCAATATAATGGCATTAAAGAAAAATTCAAATATGTAATCATTTCGTACACAGCGATTGATCCCACTGGAAAACATTCCAAATAAGACAACGTTATCTAAGTTTACGAAAAATCGTTTTATTGTTCCATGTAATCAGTACAAGAGGTCAAGAGTTACAGGTAAAACAATGAGTGATGAAAAGATAGAGCTATAGTCCTGACATCTGGCAGGAATATACTCTATTATACAATGTTTCTAGAAGAGAAAACCAATGGAAAATGAATCATCATTTTTGTGAGACATATCCGCTGATGAAACGAGATAGACAAGTCAAATCCAATAATGGACTTTTATTTTAGGAGACCAAGTAGATGACATTTTGTAATCTATTTGAAAGAAATGCCATCTCCTTCCTGCCATCGACCATCAAAAATCTCATTTCCCAGTTAAATTTGGCAAATCATGGGGTTCATCTCATTTCATGGTGCGCATGAAATGATAATATTAAGAGGTTGGAGGATTGTGCGTGCTTCGATTCATCTGCCACGAAGGCTAGAAGAGAACTGACAGCGCTTGTTGGGGACAAGGTGCCGCTTCGAAGGCCTGGGTGTTACGCGCGATTTTTAGGGTGAACTGCACCCGGATCTCCTAGACGCGGCACATGAAAGTGGGATATGTGTTATCCCACGCTAAGTAGACACTTCCTATGAAAGCAGGTGGGTCACCTGTCGGTGGAGGAAGAGCCCGCCGCCACACGGACTCGGTCGCTCACCTCCCGGGCTTCACCCGGAAGCCAGAACCACTCGGTCACCGAACCCCAGTTAAGTACGTAGTTCCATGATGTAGGCTACCGCATCGTACATGGTAGCGAAATATTATGCTTCCCAAAATTGGGGAAAGCCATTGAAAATAGGAGTTCACATTAGTTCATGATTGAGATTGGCATACCCTAAGAGCACTGTGGAAGCACCACTTCCCGTGGAATGTACTTTTGAAAGAGATACTAACTTCAAGGACATCATATACAGTTACGCATTACTTGATACTTGCCTCAGTCCAGGAAATTCCCGGAAATGCAAGCTCTGGGGGGAAAATTGCTATTTTTTTTAAATCTTGAAACTACTGAGGGGTTTATGCAATCGTGCCTTTGGGGATCACGTGCACTGATTCAGCATCGGAAGTGCGACATGAAGTATTCCTATTAGGCAATGCCCTTTTTTGTATAAAACATGGACTACGAAGGTGCCCGATTTAGGAAGTGTGCGTTCGTGTATAGAACATAAGTGTGAAACAGTTATTGTAATGCAGTTCACATGTCGATTATTCTGCATCTTCCTACGTAAACGGCAAAATATGTTAGGTTTTCTCAAATGGGATTGATGCCACAAACAGAATCATTGAAAAACTTATTCACGACATATTGTCAACGTCACTAACCTTGAAATGATCCATGACATCTTGCCCACAGTTTTGCTCGCACTGCCTCGGCGATGCAACGTCTCTGAGTTCACGGCAAAAACACTGACATTTCTCTTCAACCTAAGAGACAAAGAAACGTCAAAATCCACCAAGTAAAATCGCCCAAGGATTTCGCCCAATATATCGATTTTTCACTTGCAATATTGGAGGGGGGAAAATTCACACATAGGACACTTTCATGCTTGCCTCCTAGCTGATAATTTTCCTCATAATAATATTATTTTAAACAGCTACTTTTTCAATTCGCTCTCCAGAATAATGTATTTGATGAAATGATTGAAATTGCACAGTTTTGCTGCAGTGATAATGTATATAAGTATATAAAGTATATGAGATAATGTTATTGCACTTGTTCAGCGGCAATATCGTTGCTGTTAGCTCACAGTGCATTCAAATTATTATAAGATCGACATTTGCGGATTGGGGCTGTATTGCCATGTCAAGATCGTAGCCCATGCGTGCATTTTCTTGGCAAATGCAAGCATCATAGAGAGTACATGGCCACTCTTGCGATACTGTCTATTGGTTCATATTTTTTCTCACGTTCAGTTATTATTACCAAGGAGCATTTAATACCATTTCCAGTATCTACAGTACATATATCAACAAAGGAGAATTTTTATGAAACGTTTACCTTGTCGACACCCAGGATAGGAGGAGTTTGCGACTCTTCATGAAATGATCCGAAACGAGAGCCTGATGGCATCGAAAGTTCTGTAGAGAAACAATTCTTACTTTTGTTAAGGTGTATAGGTGAAGGTGAAGGTGTAGACGAGAGGAAAAGGAACCAAATCACCAACGGTATTTTTTCAAGAGAGAGCCCGATACCTCTAGTATATGCAGTTAAACATCATCATACGACCAGAATGTCATTCGTGAGGTACACAAAGTGTAAAGAAGGTAATTTTCAGGAATATTCTGCGTTTATCATTACCAATTAAGCACTCCATATTACCTTCACGCCTGAAAAACAGGCTTTACAAACATGAATAGAGTAAGGAAACAAACGAAACCAATGTACTTGCCATCTCGAAGAGTCTGGGCATAATTTGCATCCTTCTTCTCCATTGCCTTCAGCAGTGTTTCTACGAAATCCGGATATTTCTCATTGAGGCACTCCAATAATGCTGGGAAGGCCTTATCCCCTGCTCGGGGTATCTTTTCCAAAATGAAGTCCGCTTGTATCTTGCTCTTATTTTTTGTATGATTCGTACATTCAATGTATTCATCATGCTCGATAATGCTTTTCTTCTTCAAGCATAAGAGAATCTCATCAAGTTCAATTCTTTGTCGAAATGTCTGTAAATTTTCAGCAATCACGGCAGATATTGCCCCACTGTCTGTTAGCATGACTTCTCGATTGATAACTGCTGCCAGGCGTTCCCGTAACTGAAAATTATGTATAATTATTCTTTTATTTTTTCAGGAAAGTCCATTATATACTCATTGAGTGGATAACACGACCGGAAAAATCCATCATGAGTGAACGAGAAACAATTGATGGTGTTGAGATACGAAGAAAACTCTTGAGTAAGATAATATGAGCTCCGCCTGAAAGCAGAGATTGTGGGATAATGGTGAATTTGTTTGCCCCTCGAGCAAATAATCTCACCTTGGACGCGCCTTCGGCTCTTTATGATTAAATAGAATTACTGACGCATTTAGAGCATATTTTTTTAAGCTAACCCTTTAATGATGGGATTGTATACCTAGGTTATTAAGTATGGCAGTTCTCGCGGCTTCGGATCTCGCACCTTAAATATTAATTACTGTAATATCGGAAAACAATCATATTGACGTAACATGATATCTAGTTCGAGGATCACGAGATAATAATTCAAATTGTGTTCTGTCTTCTGTTTACTTAATTTAATTCACCTATGGGAGGCACACTCTTCTTTGCATATAAATTTCTAAAGATATAAAGGGCAGACACATAGGCAAAGAGCTTTAGCGTTTTAGTTGAATAATTATTTGTACCGGTAGACTATGTTCACTGTAGAAGTAGTTCTTTCATTATATGAATTTCTATCATTTGGCAGATGGACTAAAATAAATAGGTTTTTCAAACTCTTCCTAACGTTACACACTGATTTCCATGAGAAAATACTTCATTCTGTATATGTAAATGTTAGAGGCTGTTTTAGTTTTGGTAAAACTCAGGCAAATATTTCCATGATAAGTTGAACTGGAAGAAAAATATATCGTACCCAACTACTCGGCGCAGTTGATATGTTCTTTGAGGTGGAATTTTATTGGAATGTGACAGGTCAGAGTGCACTTAAGGAATTAATGCTATCTTCCTGGATAAAGTAATCAAGAAAGCGAATATTTTATTAAATGAACATAGAGCAATCTTATTTCCTTTTTAAAATTTAATTAACCGAAGGAAAGGAAATTTTCCGGGCAGTCTGCTCCATAAGCCAATGTCTCTTCCATACTAATATAAAATAAATGTTTTTTTTATTAATTAAATTCTCTTTGAATAAATTTCCCTCATCACGCATGGAGAGGGTATAAAGGAGAAAAATTGTGGGACGGTTTCTTTTTTGCCCCGTCACACAAGCTGCGTCTACTGTACATCTCCCCACCTACGTCATTGACGCTATCGCACCCAAACACTCCATATAAAGTGGTGACATGTTTGGCGCAAACAAAGTCCTTCATATGAAAAACTTGAAATTCCCGGCATGAGATTCCGCTAATACCCTAGCGTGCTCAAGTATCCTGACACCTCTTGGCTTGAATATACTGCGAAATAGAGGGCAGGTGGCTTCATTAGATCGTTCGGTCTTGGGACCGAATTATTTCTCATGCACTGTGTTCGCCTACCACTATGGCCATTGGCTTTTCAGGAGCGAGAGAGGGTGTGTGGAATAACTTCTCCGACAAGGTAAGAAAAAAACTTATAATAGACGACACACTCAGTTTAATAGATTATATTGTGAATACTTTTCAACATATTGAATGGTTCTTGTATTGATTACGTGATGATTATTTTTAAAAAGCTCACATTTTTGGGCTCATCTCTCTCTTCTCTCATATTCCTCATGGATATTTTGTTTTTATTTTTCAATAAGTTTCTGTGCAGGGTGGACTAGGACTAGATATGCGAAATGCAAATGTTGTAACGAGGCCATGCGCAAAGAGGAGTGTTTTAAGATTTACCACATGAAAAAAACTACGAGCTCTGGATACAGCGAGGAATAACCACTTGAAAACCTCTCATGCAAATGACGTGAATTTGGCGTTCGATTTTTAGTTATATTGTAACTTGTAAATTTGTTTAATTTGTTTTCACTCAATTAAGTTGTTATTCCTGTTTTTTATGTTTGAATATGTTTGAATTTGAAAAGTACAAAATACAAGAATGAGGGAAGTTCAAAAACAAAAATCGCTGATCGCGCAAGTGTTAATCTACTCATTTCCTTATTTGCACTGTCCCTCGATTTCTTCGTCATTCCTGAATACTAGAATTACATTTTTTTCTTTCCAGTTCTCTAATGTTTTCTACTCGTTCACTATGCCAAAAAACATCAATCACACTTAATCCGTATCCAGAGTCATGTAGGTGCAATAATAATATAACTTCTGAGAAATATTAATTTCACTACCATTCTCTTTTGTACAATATATACGTAGAAATGCTTCGAATAGACCGACATTCGCGTATGGGTGGCATAAAAAAATAGAAATGATCGCTCCAGGACGAGTTGCAAACCGTACAGTAAGCAAGAGATCGAGAAAATACATGCGCTCACGTTTATGAAGTAATGGCGAAAAGAAGGACATCTGTAGTAAACGAGGAAAACAGGATCTCGCTAGTGGAAGAGGAGGTATAGAAGAAAAAACACTTCTAAACTAGAAGTGATAGGAGGAGATGTTATGAGCTTTTATTTAATCTCAAGCTTAACAGCAGGGAGTATATCGCTGCGCACTTTTTTCACATCATACGGCAAACAAACATAATACAAAATGCATGCGCTATCTGCGTTTCGTAGTCGACCCCCACATCGCTTCCAGGAAACCTTAGGTCGGCCTCGCAGTCACTCACACGGGCAGAAACACGATTGCGCAGTGGCTAGTATTGCAGAAGTCCTTGTTTTATTAAGGAGATAAGGGCTTGTCTGTTGATGCTCGATGATCTTTAGCTTAAGAGATAGTTTTCATAAACCACCAATATACCTTTACGATGCTAGCACGAAAGGAGACTCACCTCCATTCTCATTTCAGTTCAAAAGTCCTAACTTGTCATTTCGCCCCTCGCTATGGAATAAGGTCATGCACTTCTACATTAGCATTTGGGCGCCGACCTCCTTCAAGAATACCGCCGAATCATCACTTGACATATAGCATATGAGCTGGACATGTCTCCCGATACCTCTCATCGCATCGTCACTGAAGAACTGGGAAAAAAAGGTTGCAGCAAAGTGGGTCTTCTTCCATCGGTCTTCTTGAAGGTGGTCGGAGACTTGCTGGACTTTTGCTAATGTTGAAGCAGGAACTGCTTCCTGCTTCACTAACCAGTTCCTGCTTCAGTGCTCACCAATATTTAATGAAGATTCATCAAACGCAACTCATTTTAAAAATCAATACAGAGAACGTTTCGGACAACCCTCGTATCGTAGGGAACTGGTTAGTGCACTTTTAAAGTGATACTTCTGTTACACTGTGCGTAACTGCATCGGAACGACGAATTGGATCTCACGTCTTTTTATATCATTGGAAAGCAAGATAAGTGTGCCACATGGACATGCTATTGCAGTACTTTCAAACTCTCGAGAAGCTATGCTGTGAAGCATTATAGATAACCGAAGTTTTTTTTGGCCCACTCTGTACATCGGAAGGTTGAGGAATGCGAGACGTGCACTTGATGAGGAGCCTTGATTCCCCCTGAGAGGCTCGCCTCCTGGATGCACGATCTTCATAGAGAAGGGTTACGGATGCAGCAGATTGCTTTCGTGCATTTGGCGGAAACTTCAGGGATTATTCTCTGTTCAAGTATGACAAAGCGAGTGCAACGAAGTTAGGGCTCCCAAAACGAAAGTGAAATGGAAACTCTCTCCGATTGTCCCTTTTTTCAGGTTTCCAACTCGGGTGTATGAGAGATCGAGAAGAGCCAACAATTATTCGTTCTAGCATCAATATTATTTAGATTGTGGTATTGTTCCGAATTAGAGAATAATGCACATACGGAAGAATTCGAATTCTGCCATGCAAAATCATTCATAACCGCCTTCGTTGGGAAAGCATTCCTTTTCTCGAACTCATTGTACTGTACATCCTGTTCTCGGGCCAGCCAGAACACCCTTTCATTAGAGTAGGATAATCTCCTTCAATTATTTGATTAAAGAATGTGACGGAAAGCAGCCAATCCAGAGAAAGCTGTCTCGTGTGGTCCGTGGTGTGAGTTCGTCCCAGTCAGTCCTTCTCGTCAGCCGGGCCTGCGATCTCGTCTGTGTTCTCCTCTGCAGTCGACGTCCGGCTTTTCCCTTTGTGTGGAACTTTGCTACACTTTCACTACGCAAGACCTCCTCAACTCCTCCGTCTGTGGTCTTTGTTTTCTTTCTTAATTTAACTGTAATTAAGTACCTGTTGTCCTTGTTGTTTGAACACCGTATTATTATTTGTCATCAACCGTCTCCTTAGACGGCTTGTCCTGTCTGTGGAGTGAGGCCAGGACCTTTTCCTTTTGCCTCCGATTAACCGCTCGTGCTGAATTATCTTTCTCTTGTTTTCGGTTTAAAGTTAACGTTAAAATTCCACTTTTGAGGCCCTCCACACGACTCATGTAATCTGTGAGAAGGGAAATAGTAAATATTTGACAATGAATGGAAATAATGAAAGTACAATGTTTAGACGGGCATGGGGCAGTTTGTGCCTTATGAAGCTCTTAGTAAAGAAAGAATGAGTATGAGTAAAGAAAGAATTCAAAACGTTTCATGGATGAAACAGAAGTCGTTTCCGCTATTTGAGGAATCGAGGTTTAGAACCCTGTACGGCTCTAGCCCGACCCGAACACCCCGACCGGTCTACTGTAGGGCCGAACTTTTCACGATCCTTGTTCGGGTCGGGTAGGGTCGAGCCGAATTTTCCGTTGAAATTCAAGTTTTGGGTCGGTGCGGGCCATGACTTGAATCGCGCTTATCGGGTCGGGTACCGGGAAATCGGCCCGTGCAGGACTCTACCAGTGTAGAATAATGGTGACAATTTTGATAGCTCCTAACTCATCCTGGATTGAAGATATTTCAAATATGGTTGCTCGATGCACCCCTCTTGCTCATAGGCTTTCGAACGATGCCACCTGTTAGTATATCCATCAGCATGTTGTCGCAGCGCGGCTTACAAGCATACATTAGCGTATTCATAACAAGGGGAAGGATTTGATGAGTGTATTGTTTAATATGCGTGTGAATGAGAATCCATTTGTTTTCATTTCCGCACCACTTGTCACCTGAGTACAGAACCACTGGACCATGCTACCTTTTGGCCACCCTTCTAAGCCTGTCTCACGACAATAACATTAGCGAAATTATGAATTTCTTCGGATCTCGAGCAGTGGCGTAGCAAGGGTTTTTCCGAAGGGGGACTGAGGAGAACAAAGGCAAATTAAAGTCTCCTTAACGTATTCTCGACTAGAAGGGGGGGGGCAGAACCAAGTTTTAGGGGCTCCAATCCCTCCCTCTTCTGGGGAGAGGGAGAGGAAACGTATACTCTATCTCTACGAGATTAGGATATAGGGACTTGAATATTTCCTGTGCAAATCATGTGAATCTGCTTCCACACCCATTCAGGTTTTTCCTTGATCGTCAGCAGTCATTACTATAACTTTGTTGTTTGTTGGCTTCATCCAGAAGACACCATCACAGGAAAGTGAAATTCTTTATTTGATACGGAATTAAAGAAATCTAAGGACCCACAATAGATAACAATAACAATAATAACCCACATAAAAAGCGATAACTCGCTCCATATAGCGACGTGTTGAGCGTCATCTTAGGTAATGGGAACTTCGTTTTAGCCATTTTTAAGTGGCAAGCCGACCGTAGTTTCTTACCAGTTTTATGCACTGTTTAAGTTGCAAAATTGGAGTATGATTTGACAAGACGTAATCTATATATTGACACCATGACACTGATCTAAGCTCTTGGTTTTTTTTATTTGAGCGACAAATGTGTGTTTGTGTGTGTGACAGCTCCGCAGGCCAAACGCTTTGAGGTATGAACTTGAGGCTTCAGCAGAACCCTATCTTATCATCCGAGGATGTGCCTTTTCGAAATGAAATTAGCAAATCGCCACACGAAAGGGGGGGGGGGAGGCAAATTTCACGGGGAATCGATGATTCGTTCTCGTCTTGCCATCTCTCGGAAGAACGAGGAGACGAGAGTTGCCGGGGTACTCGCAGGGGAACGGTGGCATCGCTCACTGCAGTTTCTCCCACCTGTTGCAGGGAATAGTGATTTCAAGCGTCCATGATGAAATACGAAACGATTCGTCAGTGCGTCGCCACTTGCGCTCACACGGGCCCACAGATATGTACATTACTGCGGTTTCCTCGTGGAGGTCCATCTCTCATATTCCAGAATTTCAGATTTGCATAATGACGTGCTCTATTGTCACTGCTTACATCATCTTCAGTCCCTCGAAAGCGCTCACGAAAGACACAACAAAGCCGACGAGAGCAAAAGTTATTCAAAGTTTGTATTGTTTTTCCGTATCGAAGTCGCATTGGTAGAAGGGAAAAAAATTGAGTATTATCTATGAGACCAGTAAAAAAAAAAATGGTGGTTTGCGAATCGTTACTGGGCTTTTGCTGCACCTTCCCTGTCTTCTTCCATTGGTATCAGTTGATTTACGACGCTAGCAGTTGATGTTTCCGAGACTGGGACTCCCCCCCACAATCGGGTGCTTCATTTCCCGTGGTTGTGGTCTTACTGAGAATTTGTGTCGTAGATTGCAGTGGGAAACAATCGCTAGGGTGGGAAAGTGCGCGTCACGTAGCAGTATGCTGCTTTCATAGTATAATCGTATTTCGAATATGTTCCATTTTTCGCTCTATGGGCACCATGCTTCATTGGCGGTGCCACGTGGAATGATATGTGAAATGAGCCTTGATAAATGACTTCGACGCACCCAGTGTTACATTCCCGTTTCGGCCCTGGGATATTACTAAATTCTTCGGCCTTGGGCCTTGTTGACACAATGCTCTATGACACGATCGGGTACCAAGGATGACCACGGTCAAATGAGACCTGAAAGCTTTACACATATGACATTGCCCAAATGGAACATTAAACCTCTCGAGGAAGTTGAACGTTTTTTCAAAGAGGTCTTTGGACGTTGAAAGTACACGAATGAACGCCTTTTTGGCGCTCGGTTAAGGTGCCGTTCGATCACAAAATATGCTGCATTTGGACATTCGTTGACGTTAAATGTGTTTTCCTCGAGCATATCAATGGTATCCATCTGATAATGACTTGGAGCAATGGTTCGCACAACCGACGCTGGATAACGCCTAAGTATTCGCTATAGCGAATCAATTCCTGATACATCTGGAATTAGTCTCCACTATCTTCCGCAAAGGTAGGGAAAGATAATAGTAATCTTCAACAAATCCGTCTTCAGAGGTTACCCAGTCCAAGGAATCTCCATAGAACTCCGGCTCGGAAGTTAGAGGGAGGATTGTTCAATTTTGTTGACCTATTTATTTCGCCTTTCGATTCCGCATTTATTGGGCCATCGGTTAATGGGGGCAGCCGGTTTATCGGGACGTTTTGTCAGGAACGGAACCATTTTTATGCAAGTGCATTTAAATTTCGCCGTATGTTCGGGACGAAAATCCGCTTCATCTGGGAAAGGTCGAGATTAACTTATGCTGTCGATCCCTGATGGATTTTTCCGCCCATTCCCCCACCCCTCTTCCCCGTGTCTTTTGTGGTTAAGAGCTGGCCGACCGTTCAGGTAGGGACCATCGCAAACAGCTTCCGTGGATGTGGCTCTTTTTCTGGTTCAGAGGTGCCAGAGCCAACCAACTATGGGGATCTGACCATTATTGATGTCACTAACAGAGAAGCCTACGTCATCCTCGACGAAAACGCACCGTGCTTCGCCGAACACTATGACTTTGAGGACGATATCGTCCCGGACATCGTTGCCAAGGGGCCTTGCTAAGGGAATGTCGCAGACGGGGAGCCCGAGACTTTCCCTAAGGCGACTCGCGTC